CTCAGTACTTTGGGAGGCCAAGGTGGGTGGATCACCTAAGATCAAGAGTTCGCGACCAGCCTGGCCAACATGACAAAACTCCGTCTCTACTAAAAATACAAAAATTTGCCAAGCATAGTGGTGCACACCTGTAGTCCCAGCTACGGGGGAGGCTGAGATGGGATAACCACTTGAACCCAGGAGGTGGAGGTTGCAGGGAGCCGAGATCAAGCCACTGCATTCCAGCCTGGGCGACAGAGCAAGACTCTGTCTCAAAACAAAACAAAACAAAACAAAAAGTGAGAAAAGTGACTGGCTTAAATAAATAATAGAAATAAGGAAGTGAGAGCCATTTTAAAACTCAGCTGTGAGGTAAAAGTCCTCACATAAAAATATTAAGAAGGGAAATGTAGACAATTTTTCACAAAGAAGTAATTGGCATATTATGTAAGTGTGTGGCAATACAACATAGACTCTGATGAGATCATCTCTTGACTTTTTTCTTAGGATAAAGTTTTCTATGCTGTGAATTAATACTTTCTGTGTTTCGCTAAAAAGAACAAGCGTGGCTAGTTTTTTGCAAAAAAAAAATTCTAAATATAATTATTCTGGCTTTCAACTGCTTTGTGCACAAATAAAGATTTTAAGTTTGTGTGTTTATTCTTTTTTTTCTTTTTAGATGGAGCCTCACTGTTGTTGCCCAGGCTAGAGTGCAATGGCGCAATCTCAGCTCACTGCAACTGCCACCTCCTCAGGTTCCAGCAATTCTCCTGCCTCAGCCTCCTGAGTAGCTGAGATGACAGGTGTGCACCACCACACAACAGCTAATTTTTGTATTTTTAGCAGAGATGGGTTTCACAATATTGGCCAGGCTGGTCTCGAACTCCTGACCTCAGGTGATCCACCTGCCTTGGCCTGCCAAAAGTGCTGGGATTACAGGTATGAGTCACCATGCCTGGCCTTGTATGTTTATTCTTAATACCTTATTTTTGGAAGAAGAATCTGCATTATATTTATCCAAACCTGACAGTTGTAAAATTGAATGGAAAAGACTAGAAACAAGAGGACATAAAGAAAATAATTCAGAGCTCTACACAACCACCTAAAATTTGAGGGAGATGAATTGATCCCAAATAGAATTAAATAGCCACAGCAAGCCAAATAAACTATGGTTTTCAAACATCACCCAGCGGCAGGGCCCAGAGATAGGCTTTGGAAACGTCTGCAACTCCACCTGAAATCATAGACTCACGACGTCCAGAAGGAAGCTGGCTGGGCAGCCAAACCGCATATAGACCTCTGTGCCGGGCCAGAGGAGACCCAGGGAGCCAGTTTCTTGGAGCCCTGCAGAGTGCTCAGGCTGAAGTAACCACTTCTTGCTGCCTTCATCAACATAAGAGGGGAGGGGAGAAACAGCTGCTGTAGAAAAGTCGCTGCAAAACCAAGTATCTCAAACTACGCTCTCCACACTGAACTCAGCATTCTCTCTTATAAACAGAACAATGTATAAAACCACAGAAGAGCTTATGATGAGATAGGCGATAAAACACATTATCTCATCATAAAGTTGAAATCTCAGGATGGAGTCAGAAGTAACTATGATTCCTGCAACAATGCAGATACCATTGTTTTCAAGTCAAAACATAATTTTTTATAATCTGTGAATGCACAATACATAATTTTTTGGTTTTGGTTTTTCATCCTTTCTTCCCTTGGGAGTATCAGTCAAGAACTTATTATAAAATTATTATAAAAATTATAATAAAAATTAGACATAGTGGCCTCAAGTAATGTCTCATGACCTGAGCATTGAATCGTAAGTCTCAGGGCTATGAGGCAATTGTGTCCTAAAACACTTACCTCAAAGGTCACCTCATTCGGAGTTTCCAAAATTTCAGCCATGGAATGTACTTTTCATGGTTTTTGCCATGAATATAGGCCACCTGTACTGTTTATTTCCTTAGTTTTTGATATACCTCATCACTCTTTTGACTGAAAATAATTTTTTTAAAGAAGAATTTCTATTACTACCATAAATAGAAAGCCACTATCACTGGTCATAAGTTACAGGCAAATCTGAAACACACGCACACAGCAATGAGAAAGTCATCTAGTGATAATTTTTAGGGAGAGACAAACTGAACTAAACAAGTGTCTCAAATGCTTAATGAACTTGGCTTGCTGCAGGGAGAGAGTTCAAGTCCTGCTTCCATCCATCTCTAAAAGTCCAACTTTTCTGATCTATCCAAGGCAGAGGAGCAGTGTGGTGTCTATAAACAAAATGTCATCAAACAAGAGGAAACTCGGGAATGACCCAGCTCCAGCATAGCAGCTGCATGACCTGGGCCAGCCACCTGGCCACTGCATACCTTTGTTACCTGTCCATGAACTGGAATGAATCATACCCCCCATGGCCACTCCAGAGGGGTATGCACTACAACTGATTCATGTTTCTACACCATAAAATCTGCACGAGCAAAAGGTGCTATGACAGAAAGGAGCAGCAGTAAGTTAATCAATACTATGAAGTATTTAATCAGTGTAAAGGGCTTTATGATGCAGCAGTGTTTAAAAAATCTAATCAGTGAATGACCTCACCCACTAAACAGCTTGATATATTCCAGAGGCAGCAGGCTCTAAGTTCACCAACAGTCACTGCGAGTGCTGAGCTCCCCATCCATTCTTTTTTTTTTTTTTTTTTTTTTTTTTTTTTTTGGGAGACTGAGTCTCGCTCTTGTTACCCAGGCTGGAGTGCAATGGCGCGATCTCGGCTCACTGCAACCTCCACCTCCTGGGTTCAGGCAATTCTCCTGCCTCAGCCTCCTGAGTAGCTGGGATTACAGGCACGTGCCACCATGCCCAGCTAATTTTTTGTGTTTTTAGTAGAGACGGGGTTTCACCATGTTGACCAGGATGGTCTCGATCTCTTGAACTCGTGATCCACCCACCTCGGCCTCCCAAAGTGCTGGGATTACAGGCCTGAGCCACCGCGCCCAGCCTCCCCATCCATTCTTAAGCTCTCCTCATTTAAAGCCAGAAAGCTGCACAACCAAGGAAGGGGACAGCAAGTCACTGGAGAAGGGGGACTGCAGTCCATGGTGGGGAGGGAACATGACTCAGTGTAAAGTAAGAGGGCTTTTCTAACGTGGACAGCAGCAGCATTGCCCATGTGCACCCACCAAACAAGAGCTCCATCACCGAAGGTCCTGCCTGGGTCTGTGACATTTAAGATTCATTATGAATCCCAGCACTTTGAAAGGCTGAGGAGGGTAGATCACCTGAGGTCAGGAGTTCAAGACTGGCCTGACCAGTATGGTGAAACCTTGTCTCTACTAAAAATACAAAAATTAGCCAGGTGAGGTGGTGTGAGCCTGTAGTCCCAGCTACTCAGGAGGCTGAGACAGGAGAATCGCTTGAACCCAGGTTGCAGTGAGCTGAGATCGTGCCACTGCACTGCAGCCTGGGTGACACAGGGAAACTCCATCTCAAAACAAACAAACAAAAAGATTCACTATGAATTAAAGCTTCATCCCCAGAAACCAGCGATGGCCACAGGCAGCAGGGGAAAGAGGGAGTGGTGCACAGGGAAAGCCAGCAGCTCCAGGTGAGTGGCCTACCTTGAAGGGACGCCTTCGCTGAATGCTCCCAGTGCTGACAATACTCAGGGAACAGCGACTTTGCAAGGACAGGAAGCAAGGGACCAAGAACAGGAAGCAAGGGACTGGACGAGCCAGGAAGTGAGGGAATGGATGAGTGGCAGACACGTACTCAACCACACAGTAATGTAGAAAATTCTATTCCAGATGACACAGAGAGACAAATATTTCACATAATGTGAAATTCAACTGTGTACACTGATAAAGATTAAAAGAAGACATAGATTCTTCTAGTAGAAACAGTTGGTGTCATATGATAAAAAATTTTGTCTTAAATGGCTTTTATTTTTATTATAGGAGTAACAAACGTTCATTGGAGAAAATACAAAAATAGAGATAAACAGAGAAGATAAAATCACCCATAATCCCACCACTCAGACAGAAACATTACTTATATTTTGGGTTATTCTTCCAGACTTTCCTCTATATGAATATAAACATACACATTTTTAACTGAAGTGGGATCACAGTGCACATACTGTCTTTTAACATGCTTTCTTTAACTCAGCCTGCCTTGAACGTTGCCAGGTTCAATAGATACACTTCAACAATATTATAAGGTCTTCCCAGTGGCACCCACAGAAAATAGACAGGTGTAGCATCCATTGTTCTACCAATCCTAATTGTTCAATTTATCAAAAAGACAAAGGATAACCAATTTCAAATATTAATTTTTTAAGTGATGAATGCTTTCTAGTGGAGAAATCTTACTTGTAAATCCATCAAAATGAATGCAGACAAAAATAAAGTACTCTTTGTTTTTCAATAAAAAAATCATCTGAGTAGCTGAGCAGGCCAGGATCTTCCATCTAAGTTGCTTTGGGGATGTATGCCTTAGGCTTGGGGCTAAAGAACCTGGGAGTCTCTACAGATTGAAGCTGTACCTGAGAGCTTAGGACACACGTAGGGGCAATTTAAGAAATATCTTTTTGTGGCTATAGACTCTGCCTTTACAGTAAACTATCTTCCTTGGGAATTAACCTGTTACCACTGTGAAAAGCTGCTATCTTTGGCAATGCCCGATGCCTTGACGTCTGCTTCACCTGACACAGGTGCACAGCTGCACCAGCTTCTTTACGACTGGTGTGTGCATGGGGCATCCTTCTCCATCCTTTTACTCCCAAGCTTTCTGGATTCCTTCATCTAACATGTCTATTGTAAGCAGCAATTTTTAAAATTTTCAGTTTGACAATCTTGGTATTAACTAGTAATATTTAGTTCAGTTGCATTTTATGTCATTATGAAGTGTGTGAGTGAAAACTGACCATGCTGCTGTTTTCTATTGACCCTATCTGTTTGGTTTGTACATCTCTCCTTTCTACTTTCTTTTGGATTCACTGAGTACTTCTTATGGGTTCAGTTTTCCCTCCTCTATCACCACATGCATCATGCATTATTAGTATTCTAGTGGTTACTTTGGAGATCGTAGCGTGTGTGCTCCAACAGTATCCCTAACAACAGCAGGACCCGCTATCCACGTCCACCATCAAGGCTGTTTCCATTATGTGTTTTAATTCTGCCTGCACATCACGCCCGATGAGGCACCACTGTGACTTGCTGGTGTCAGGTAGTCACTGTTCACTCAGAACCGCTCGTGGCTTTACTGTTTTCATGGCTCTGCATTCCTTCCTACACTTCCATGCTTCCATCAGGACCCTTTTTCCTTTCGCCTCAAGAATTTCTCTCAGTGTTTCTTTTACTGTAAGTCTTCTGGTGACAAGTTCTGTCTGATTCTGTTTGTCTGAAAATGTCCTTTGGTGGCCTTCATTTTTGAATAGAATTCTAGGGAAAGAGTTACTTTCTTCACTTTAAAGGTTGTCATTTCATTGTCATCTGATTTCCATGATCTCTGTGGAAAAGTCAGCTGTCAGCCATAGAGCTATCCCTTCAGTCAGATGTGCCTCCAGCCCCACCTACATTTCCACATGTTCTGATTTCACAATGACATGTCAAGTGTGGTTCTCTGTGTATTTACCATGTTTGGAATTTGTAAAGTTTCTTGAATTTATGGCTTCATGTCTGACAGAGTTTAGGATACTTCTCAGCCAGTATCACTTCTAATCCTGCTGGTACCCCCATCTCTTCTCTCCTCTCATGGTCCCTCACATTCATAGAGTGGGCTTTTTCTCCATGTCTCCTGTGGCTTTCATGCTCTTTCCTCTATTTTTTCATTCTTTTCTTCTCTATGCCACACTCTGGATATTTTCTATCAATCCCCATTACAGAATTCACTCTCCTATGTGTAATCTGCTATCCAATTTATGTTTAATTCTTCATTTCATTTATTGTACTTTTTATTCCCAGAATTTCCATTTAAGTCCATTTTTATACATTCCATTTTATTTGTGAAATTCTCCATCTTGTCCTTTACTTTCTTGAATATATTAACAACCACACTTTTAAAACTCATATCTCATTATTCCAATATCTAGGTCACTTGTAGCTGTTTCCTTTGTTGACTTTTACTCTTCTTCTTTTAATCATTTGGCCCTTAAAATTTTAATTGAAAACCAGACACTGTGTATCACACAATAACAGGTCAACTGGAGGCCTGGCTAATGTTATCATCCTTCAGAGAGTGCTGACTCTGGCTTCTGGCAGGCAGGGTGCTGTAATCCTCTCTGAGTTGAGTGGTTCAAGGCTGAGTCTCAGTCTTTTGTGAAGGCTAAACTATTTCAAGTTTCCTCTTATTCCCAGGTTGGGATCAGGACCTAACAGGAAGTCGACATGCTTACCAGGGCTCCTCCTCCTTGGCATGCCCTGAACTCCCATTTTTGGTTCCCCGAGTCTTGAAGAATAGCTTTCTGGCTGGGTATGGCAGTTCTCATTTGTTATCCCAGCACTCTGGAAGGCCAAGGTAGAAGGATCTCTTGAGGTCAGGCTAGGCAACATAGGAGACCCTGTCTTAACAACAACTACAACAGCTTTCCCTTCGTTTCTTAGCCTCTGAGCTAAAACATCAGCAAATGCCTTAAGGAGAACACAAGTGCAGATTACTGGGCTCACCTTAATGTTTTCCCTTCTCCCCAGGATCTTGGTCTCCTGCACTCACACAGCCTTGGTAGCTAAAACTCTTAAGTTTTGTCTCCCAGTCCTACAAGGCTATCAAAAGATCCCTATAAGGTCCTAGTTTTCTGGACACCACTTTCTGTTTTGCTCTTCACCTATCCAGCTCCCTGCCCCTTATGAGCCAGCAAACATCTCAAGAGGAAAAGTATCACAGAATACTGCACTCAGCCCACCAGCTTCCTTCCTCTTCAGGACGTGGTCCCTCCAGCATTGGCCACCTTTCTTTTGTACTCTGTCCAGCTTTTCAAGATCTCCTTGTGGGAATGTTAGTCTACAGGATATTCCACAACATCTCCAAGGCATGCTTGTACACACAGACACATTATTAAAAGAGGAATAGCCACATCACAGAAAAATGTTAAAATTAAAAAACCACTTTTTCAATAATTTGACAGTTTAACAATCTAAAAACATAAATTACAATTTTTCCAGAAAATAACTCACAGAAGTTTGTTACCTCTAATTTGTAAAATATTCCACTGAGTCAGGACAAAATTGCCCCTTTTAAAGTCTCCTTTCTGATTTACCACTTTGTAACTGAGAAATCCAGAGCCATCAAGAAACATGCCAAAATCACCATAAATCATACCAGGTTCTTTCCTCTCGGGCCCCACTGATTGCCAAATGCATTACCAAAATTACTTGAAGATGTTGCTTCTTCACCTGATACCAATAATTTAGAAACAGATGTTTAAACACTGGCTTGTGCTAAATCTCTTCAGGCAATATCAGTAAGGCATGTGCTATGATCAGTGGAAAAATGTGCTTTGGTCACATCTAATTGCAATAAAATAATAAAGCTTTCTCCTACTTCCCTCCCTTTCTGACATTACAACATATAAACTGCAAAACATAAAAAATAAAAACCAAACAAATTATTCTCCTTAATCCAAACACTAAAATATTTCATCAAGGAGATGAGCGGGCCACCCCCTGCACATGGCTGTTTGCTAGATTTTCAGAAGGCACAGGTACATGTTTTGTGGACACAGGGAACAAAGGCAGAAACCGTCACTGTCCTCAAAGTCCCTGTGATTTCGCAGAGAAGAAAGAACTCAACGAAGAAAACAGCTAAGTACAATTAAAACGCAGTACATCAATAGGTACAAAACGTTCTTGTTCAAATGAAATGCACACGTAAGTGCCAAGAAGCCTAACTTGAGTTTTCAGTGCGGGGGACGGCCGCGGGGGAGGGCCGTTCTGAAGCTCCAGGTTGTGGGCTAGCGCTTAAAACAACTGTTTACCATCGGGAAACTGGGTTCACCACAGAGATAAAAACGACTCAAACTTGCATGCTCTTGCCAACAGGAAGAAATGTTCAAGGGCACATCTGTATGGTTCTCAAAGCCCTTGTCTACACAGCCAAGGTATGGGAAAACTTAGTGTGCTGTCTGTGAGTGTGCTGTGGGGAAGGAATCAGTTTCTTGCAGTCAGAGCTAGGAAATAACTGACCTCAGCCTCTGCTGTGGGGCTGACCTAGGCTGGCGTCCTAATCCAAGCAGGTCAACCATAGGTCACGTGCACAACAGCAACTCAAACAGGACTCTGCAAATAAGGACGCAAAAAATTTGCAAGCTTGCCCTTCTTTCCAAAGACTAGAGATAACAGATCAAGTACAAAATAACAGATCCTTCTACACGCCCAAAATTCTATGAAGCATGGGACCCTCTTTAGCATGTGACTCTCAATCTTTCAAACATCAAACCACATGCAAAGCAGCCCCTCCTCCCCTTAACAAAGTCAGTGACCAGGCAAAAGGTAAAGAAGAAAAGTGGAAAACACACACAAACAGAACCTGTGTTATTTTTATAATATTTTACCATCTTTTCAAAGTCCAAATGGGTCAGAAAATGTCACAGAGAATGTATAAGGCAACTGAGGCTTAGGAAGAGTTTTCCCAAGTGGTTTCACTATAATTATTTAAGCTATCTCATTCATATCTTTTCAGAGGAAAAATATGCAGTATATCTTTAACCTTGATCTCAGTTTTTTGTGTGGATTTTTATTTCTTTGTTTTTTTGTACAGACAGGATCTTGCTCTGTTCCCCAGGCTGGTGCACTGGTGCGATCATAGCTCACTGCAGTCTGGAACTTCTAGGCTCAAACAATCCTTCTGCCTCAGCCTCCTGAGAAGCTAGGACTACAGGCACATGCCATCTTATCAGACTAATTTCTGTATTATTTGTAGGAATGGTGTCTCTTTATGTTACCTAGGCTGGTCTCAGACTCCCGGCCTCAAGTGATATTCCCGCCTCAGCCTCCCAAAGTTCCGCTGTGTGAGCCACTGTGCCTGGCCCTGAACTTGTTTTGTTAATGATGCCTTTCTGTGGTCCTTTAAGTATATACAGGTTGAGTATCATTATCAGAAATGCTTGGAACCAGAAGCATTTTGGGTTTTGAATTTTTTCAGATTTTGGAATATTTGCATGTACATAATGAGGTATCTTCAGGATGAGGCCCAAGCCCAATCACAAAATTTATTCATGTTTCACATACACCTTACACACCTAATTTCATACAATATTGTTAATGATTGTGTGCCTGAAACAAAGTTTTGACTGCCACCCAGTACCATGGTCAGGTGGGGAATTCTCCACTTGTAGTCAGCACTCAAAAAGCTTCAGATCTAAGAGTGTTTGAGAGTTCAGATTCTCAGCTTAGTGATATTCAACCCGTAACTATTCCTATGGGTTTTATTTTTCAGGTGAGCCACAGGCAGCGTGGACACACAGAACTGCTTTCCAGACTCAGGCCTGCGGCATGTGCTCCACATCCAGGCCCGCCTTCCCTCGAGAGCATAGCAGTGAAGCCAGCAGCATCGACGGCTGCCAGTGTCCAGTGCCTCAGCATTTAAAGACCTCTACAAAATATCCCCTGAGAACACAGTGACCACCAGCTGGAAACATCACCCAGTGTGGCTGGCATTCTGAGGATGACATTGGAGAGGTGTCCAGCAGTATCACCCATGCTGGAAGGTAGCAGTCCCTGGGAGTGTCGTGGAAGCCAAGCCTGGAGGGACTTCAGGGCTTCCTGCCACCCGCAGTACTGCCACCAGAACGCATAAAGAGTCTCTCTCTGAGGGGCGGATTGGTGGGCAGGCGCCAGGAGGCCTGAGTGGGCTCTGTTTCACGCACCATCCATCCCTGACAAACACTGAAGTCAGTCCCTGTCTGGCTTTTTGAGGTGGGATGGAGTCTTATTTGTGTTTGTGTCCCACCCATTACATGTCCTGGTACTCAGCAAGCACCAAGTAAGCTCTCATGGACTCAGCAGCTGAATGGACAGATGAGTGAATGGATCTGAAATATAAGATAGGAAAGGCCATATCCATCCTCCGTCTTCCCCAAAAACAGAGTTTTTATTTACCCTCATCTTTTATCTGCCCTTTGAGGAAGGTAGGTATCATTTTCTGCATTTTACAGAGGAGGGAACTGAGGCTCTGTGAGTTACATAATATGCCTAAGGCTACAGAAATGTTCGAGGATTGAACAGGAATTGAACTTATGTCTCTCTGGATCCAGAATCTGCATCTTTCCAACATGTCAAATCATCTCCTTAGCAAAAGTCTGATTGCAAAATTTCTCAAGTAAAATACAAGAATAAGAAAAAATAAATACATTAATTTATGGATTTAATCTCAGATAATCTATAGTGAATAAGATAAACCAAAACGTGACAAAGCATACAACTGAACTGAAGCTTAAAACCCACCTGAAAGCTGTTATTTCAGATGCAAACAGTGACTGACTCAGAGCCCTCAGGTTCCTGGGGAGAAGCTAAGGTCAAGACTGAAGGAGGAAGAGGAGGTGAAGGGGCGAATAGGGGTCCCAGCCAGGTGTCACTGCCTCCTCCAAACCCCCAGCAGCATACACAAGGCCCTGCTCTGGCTTTTCTGGTTCTTCCACACCCATGCTGCTGGCGTCTCTGATTAGATTATACCGTAAATTTTCTAGGGCAAGGACTGTGTCTTTTTTCCTTTTCAACCACAATGTCTATTACTATACTACACATGGTCCTACTTCTATCCAAATGCATGCCCTGGCAGGCCCACCAATATCTCCTTTCTTTTTTTTTTTAAGAGACACAGTCTCACTGGAGAACCAGGCTGGAGGAGGGCAGTGGTGCCATGATCACAGCTCACTTCAGCATCGACCTCTCCTGGCTCAGGCAGTCCTCCCACCTCATTCTTCCAAGTGTCTAGGACTATAGATGTGTACCATCAAACCTGGCTAATTTTTATTTATTTATTTATTTTTGTAGAGACAGGGGTCTCACTATGTTGCACAAGCTGACCTCAAGCTCCAGGCCTCAAGTGATCCAATCCCTCGGCCTCCCAAAGTGCTGAGATTCCCAGTGTGAGCCACCATGCTGAGCCTCAATGTCCCTTCCTGGCTCTGAAAAGAAAGAAGTGGGGAAAGCCGTTCTGCAGATTTCCAACACTGTCACCGCAGCCACACACACAGCTCTATTACTTGTCCTGAAGCATTGTTAAGAGACTGTGCTATCGTTCCATTGACAGTTTGGAGTTCAGTGACAGAATTATCTGGAGAAGGCAGACCCTGTGGGACGAAGGCCACACGGTTTTAGTCACAAAAGTAGGGCCATATGCACCCATCACCAAGACACCCAGTGTCTGTGAGTCTTTGGAACAGTCATCGAAGCCCCTCTCTCCCACCTTTCCTTCACCTCTCACTGTCTCTCAGACCCCACTCTCACGCACATCTCCCAAGCCACAGGAAACACTCCACAAAGACGCATCACACCTAAGATCTTATTTTAAGTGATTAAGGTCTAGGCAAACAGTTTTCTGACTGACCCTAATTTGTTTTTAAGAGAAGGTTATTTTTTTATGGCCTTCAACATGTTTAATACTGATATTAAGAGTGCTGGAGAGCCCACAGGACAAGGGGGGCTTGTCCTACAGGACCCCTCCTCACATACCAAACACCTAAGTCCTCAGTAAACTCACACAGAGAAAAACAATTCTGTAAGTAATAAACATAACAGGCTTGGCACATCTAATAATTACTTGCAAGAGAAATTGGAATGGAATGCACAGAAAACAACCTATTTGGGATTTGATTTTCATTGGCGAAGTCATTGTCATCCAGCTCATGAATTCCCAAGGCCACTTGATGGGCGTTCATTACCAGTACTCAGAGGCACCCTCTAATGGCACTCTAAGAACTGTACCCCACATCCCAGCAAAGCCAGATGTTCTTCCTGTGACTGTCCACGACCCACACCAGGGTGTGCAGGGCAAGTGGGTTGCTCGCTCACAGGCCTCTGCACCAAGGACAAGCCTCTAACTTAAAGTCTGACCCGCCTCCACTGAAAACATGCCTTAGTTTTTCCTCTTTGGTGCTAACTACAATCTCTTCCCAGCTATGGGCAATGGAAAACTGTAGTAAGAATATCTTATTATTTTAAATAACGTCAAGCAGACAAGACCAAAGCAAAGTACATGAAATCAAAAGCAAATATAACTTTTGGCTATAGTGGTTCTATAGCCACTGTGGCTCAAAATCCAGAAGCCACAAAAGAAAATAGTCATACATATGACCACATAAATATCAAAACTTCAGACTGGCAAAATCAAAGTTAAAAGACAATGCAAAAACAAATTTAAAAGACAAATAACAAAAACTTGAAAACAGTATCTGCATGCATTATCACAAGTCGACTTCCCTAATACATAAAGCACTCCTAGCAACCCGCAAAAGTTCAACAACCACAAACACACATGGCTCTGATATGAAATATGCAGAGTCTCCCTTCCAGTGAAAGAAATGCAAATTCAGATTATGTATAGATACCATTTCCCACCTTTCAGGCTGGTAAAACTCCAAAAATACCAGTGAGGATGTGGCCAAACAGGGACCTTCACCCACCATTCACACAATCGTGCCTCAGAGTATACCAGCACAGGTCCCAGGAAGGACGACTTGGTGGACTTGGTGATGTCAACCAAAGCCACAAAGGTGCACACTCTGGCCTTGACACATTCCATTCCAAGCATACATCCTAAAGTACATGTGCATGTTTGACAACTGAAATTAAGAGAAATGAAATTTATTATTCATTGTATTTTGTCTATAATAGCAAAATTTGGAATTAAGTCAAAGATTCATCAGTAGAGGACTGGCGAAATAAACTGGCACGTCTATTAAATGGGACACCAGATGGCTGTAAACAAAGGGAGAGTCAGGAGTGGCGGGGGGAGGGGCAAGGAAAAGGAAAGCTTTCTGTATGGGAATCGCGGAAGAATGTCTAAGGCACGTTGAGTGTGGAAAGCATGGTACAGGAAAATGGGCTTGACGAAGAGTGGGGATGGCTAATTTGTTTTTAACATGGTTTATAAATGCATAAAGAAATTCTAGAAGGATACATAAGAAACCAATAACATGACTGCAGAGGCAGGGCAGGGGCAGAGTGGACAGCAGCAGGCTTGAATGAATGCCTTTGATAACTGGTTTTATTTTTGAAGCATCTGATGGTATTAACTAATCAAAATAAAACAATAAAACTACAGTTGCCCTTAAACAACATGGAAGTTAGGGGTGCCAGCCGCCTCCACAGTCAAAACTCCAAGTATAACTTTTGACTTCCAACAATGTAACTACTAATGGCCTACTGTTGACCATTACAGATAATATAAACTGCCAATTAACACATATTTTATATGTTATATGTATTATATATATACTTATACTATTCTTATAATAAAATATACTATGGAAAAAAATGTTATCAAGAAAATCAGGGACCAGACGTGACAGCTTATGCCTGTAATTCCAACACTTTGGGAGGCTGAAGGAGGAGGATCAGGAGTTTGAGATCAGCTTGGGCAACATAGTGAGACCCATTTTCTGAAAAAAAAAAAAAAAAAAAAAAAAAAAAAAAAAAAAAGTAAAAATTAGGAGGGGTGACACAACCCTGTGATGCCAGCTACCTGGGAGGTTGAGGTGGGAGGATCACTTGAATGTGAGAGGTAAAGGCTTCAGGGTGCCAAGATTAGACACTGCACTCCAGCCTGAGCAATGGAGCAAGACCCTGTCTCTTTAAAAAAAAAAAAAAATTGGCTGGGCATAGTGGCTCATGCCTGTAATCTTAGCACTTTGAGAGGCTGAGGCAGGTGGATCGGGAGGTCAAAAGATTGAGACCATCCTGGTCAACATGGTGAAACCCCATCTCTGCTAAAAATACAAAAATTAGCTGGACATGGTGACGGGCACCTGTAGTTCACTACTCAGGAAGATAAGGCAGGAGAATTGATTGAAACCAGGAGGCGGAGGTTGCAGTGAACCAAGATCACACCACTGCACTCCGGCCTGACAACAGAGCAAGATTCCGTCTCAAAAAAAAAATTAATAAAAAAAGGAAATCATAAGAGAAAATATATTTACTATTTAGTAAGTGGAAGTAAACCATCATCATAAAGTTCTTCAAGCTGTTCATCTTCACGTTGAGTAGGCTGAGGGGAGGAGTCAGGGTTGGCCACGTTATCTCAGGGGTGGCAGAGGCAGAAGTGATGAAGGAGGTGGGAATGGGGACAGGACAGGCAGGCATACTTGGTGTAACTTCACGAAACACATTATAATTTCCAACTGACTTTTTTGCTTTTTCGTTTATCTAAGTGTTTCCACACAGTACCAATCCTTCTTCCACTGTTTGTTTTAGTTTCAGTACCCACATCATTGAAAGATTCACGTCATAAAAGGAAATAGGGGAGGGACAGTGGTGGGTGGGGAGTTGGGGAGAGAGAGCCTGGGGGGAAATGCCAGATATAGGTGATGGGGAGGAAGGCAGCAAATCACACTGCCATATCTGTACCTATGCAACAACCTTGCATGTAATTCACATGTACCCCAAAACCTAAAATGCAATTAAAAAGAGAAGTCAAAAGCAGTCTGAATAATCAGACCCCTTCTGCCAAACTGTCTAATGTCAATTTATTTTCTGGCACTACTTCTTCTATGTCTTTTTCCCATCACCTGGCCCTGGTCTAGAAGCACTCATCTCCACTAAGTCGTCTTGCGTTAATTCTTCCAGTGTGGTGTCTACTAGCTCCTGAATTCTCTAAGATCCATATCTTGAAATTCTTCCTTCCCCTCCTCCCCTGCCACACATTTGTTTTTTGTTTTTGTTTTTGTTTTTTGCCATAACCACAGTCTCTTTCATGATTTCCTTGGTTGGCTCTATTGGAAATCCCATGAAGTCATGCACAACATCTGAACAGAGTTTTCTCCAGCAAAAATTTATTGTCTTGGGTTTGATAGCTCTCATGGTTTTTTCTATTACAACAGTGGCATCTTCAATGGTGAAATGCTTTCAGATTTTTATGGCCTTCTCTTTATCAGGGTTCTCCTCCACATAGTTAACATCCTTTCCATGGAATGTCATGTGTAATGAGCCTTAGAGGTCCTTTTGACACCCTGATCTAGAGGCTGATACAAGATGTCTTATTTGAGGGCAAATAGTCTTCAGCCTTCAGTGTTGAACTCATGGGGTTCTGGGTGGCCAGGGGCACTGTCCAATATTGAAAGAAGTTTAAAAGGCAGTCCCTTACTGGCAAGGTACTTCCTGACTTCAGGGACAAAACACGGATGGAACCTATCCAGAAAAAGCATTCTCATCGTCCAGGCCTTCTTGTTCTACAACCAAAAGACTGGCAGCTGGTGTTCATCTTTCCACTTCAAAGTTCAGGGGCAGTCCTGATCAGAAACCCAACTGCATTTGCACAAAATGAGAGTTAACCTATTGATGCCTGGTTCTCTTCCTTACCAATAAATGTCCTTTGTAGCATTTTTTTTCCAGAATAGACCACTTTCATCTGTATTTAAAAACCCATATAGGCAGATATTCTTTCTCCTCAATTATTTTCTTAATGGTGTCTAGGAACTCAATAGCTGCCTCTCAGTCAGCAAAAGTTGCTTCTCCTATTATCTTGACTTTTTTTTTTTAAAACCAAATCTCTTTCTAAAATTATCAAACCATCCTTTGCTGGCACTGAATTATCCATCTTTAGATCTTTCATGTTTCTTTTGCTTTAAGTTTTCATATAATGACTTTGCTTTTTCTCAAATCATATTAGAGTCTATGGCTAAGCCTTTCTAACAGCCATCCTAGCACAGAAAAGCTACATTTTCAATACAAGATAAAAAGGTATTTTACAAAAAGTGCAGTTTTTGTGCCTGCTGGCATAGCTGCAGTGACAGCTTCACAAATTTCCTTTTCTTTTTTCCAGTGATTTTTATGCTGGTCTTATTTATCTTGAAATGGCATAAGGTAACCACAGATGGAGACCTCAACCTAAAGTACAAATCAAGCAATTCAGCTTTTTCTTGCAACGTCATGACTTTTTCTCTACTTCTTAGGACCACTTCCAGCATCACTAGGGGTACATCCTATGGGTCCCATGTTGTTATTCATGGTTTATGGTATTGCACTAAATACCGTGCAAATATGCAAGAATCTCAAGAGATTCTTTTCACCGGGACATGAAATTTACTGTTGAGAAGCACTGTTCATACGGAGATGATAAGCATCACACAGTGTCTTAAGTGGATACTGAAAACACTTGAGCTGACCACAATTGCAATCAGATGTGGTTACAAAACTATTTTTTGTATATGTGCTTTACAAAACTTTACAGTAGTAAAGCATGGAGTATAGTTAATTTTATGCAGTTATGATTTAATACTACATCTTTGTATTTGCTTTACATTTCTCAACTGCAAATGGTGCCAGGTATATCTGTGTTTGTGTGCACAAGTTTTGAAAAGATTTAACTTTTTATAACAGTTATGCATATATTTTAAGGTAATAAATAACAAAATAGACTAGTATCTATGTATATTTTATGCATTCATGACATGCCTAACTTTGTCTTACCTTTTTCAATATTTCTAGGCTATAAGGTTCATACACAAGTTTATTCAAATTTTTTAAAATCTCCCTAAATTTCCAATATATTTATTGAAAAAAAAATCTGTACACAAGTAGGCTGACACAGTTTAAACCCACGCTGTTCAAGAGTCAAGTAAGTTTTTCAGTTTTTCCGTTTTTTAACTGTGAAATGATAGCTGTCTTTCTTACCACACCCTCTGTCAGCAGGCTGAGGCGTGTGGGCTGAGTCCGCCTTCCTCACATTCCTTCTGTCTCCTATGTTGTCTTCCCTGTCCCCATCCCTAGAGATCCCTCCTACACCCTCACAGCAGGACCAGGTTTAGCAGTCTCCCATCCTCAGGTCTGTCTCCATGACAAGGAGTTTCAGAAAATGGAAATTATACTTGACTATCATAATTTGAAACCAAAACAAATGGGGCCCATTGCCCAAACCTGCACTAAATTAAACTCGAAAGGGCTGATGTTGCCATGACAAGGCTGGAAACCTGTGTCTGTATATACAGGGCAGTGGCTGCCCAACCTCATTCCTCGGGGGAGTCTGAAAGAGCCACCTTCCCAGCCCTCCTCAGCAGCTTCCAGGTGGCCTACCCCACAGCCTGTGCTGCGCTAGCATACTGGGGACTCCCTGCAGTCACCCCTGCTGCATGAGGCCATTCTGGCCAACCCAGGCCCAACACAAAGAAACAGACCTGACACCAGAACCCAGAGGGCCATCACCCATCTCTGCACTCTTCAACATGTGGGTACCAACCAACTGTGACCTCAGGAAATCTTCTTTGAGAAAATGATGACTCCTCCTACCCTTCCCCACGCTGCCCACACCATACTTCCACAACATCCTGTAGAGAACCACTTTCAGCCAGACATGGTGAGAGGCGTAGACCTCCAGGGATATCTAAAGTCCAAATCCCGTGTGACATCCACCAAGATGAGCCCCGAGTGTGGAAGCCTGGAAGCCACCCAGGTCCTGGCCTGGGAGCCTGTGCACTGGAGTCCAGGACCACAGCAGCAGGGCTGCCTCCCCGGGAGGCCAGACTCCAGGACCCTGGATCCACCCCTGGCGGTGCAGGACTCCACTCAAATCCTCCCAGGTATTTGCTTTGCCTAAAAAATTCCAGAAACGGCCTCCTGGTGACAACTGCACTGTCTACCAACACTTCAGGCCATAGCTTGTGGATGACTCATGGGCCTTTGTGCAACTGAAGCTCATTCCTTCTTTTCATCACATCTTATGGAGCAGTTAGGACCACCTTGGCTCTCTTACTAGGAGAACCTGGTGCTTATCCAGCTAATGCCTTCAATGAGAGGTCCCTGGAACAACGCATGGCCTTCCCATTCCTAAGAGGGTTCTGTTCTATTTTGCATTTTTTTCAGCTTCCTTTCTCTTTTTCCTGGGGAGTAAGGAACAAGAGGATTTGTTTAAAAGATTTAGCTCATGTATAAAATAACTCCCTTTTTCTTTCATCAAAAGCAAATCTTGGACAGGCGCAATGGCTCGTACCTGTAATCACAGAGCTTTGGGAGGCCAAGGCAAGAGGACTGCTTGAGCCCAGGAGTTTGAGACCAGCACAGGCAATATAATGAGAGGCCCTCTCTAGAAGGAAGGGAGGAAGAGAAGGAGGACAGGGCAGGAAACGGGGAGAGAGAGAGAAAAGAAGAAAGACAAAGTAGCTGGCATGGTGGCATGCACCTGTAGTCTCAGCTACTCAGGAGGCAGAGGAGGAAAGATTGCTGGAACCCAGGAGCTGAGGCTGTCGTGAGCTACGATCACACCACTGCAGTCCAGCCTGGGCAACAGAGTAAGATCCTGTCTCTAGGGGAAAAAAAAAAAAAAAAAAAAAAAAAAGCTGTCTTCAGAAGACAAAGTTAACCTATTTCCCCCTCAATAGATCTGAGGAGACATCTGGGCTGGGGTCTGGGCACCGCATGGTTGCCGTCCAGCACGTGCCCTACATGGGTTCACTCCTGCCCTCCGGTGCCTTCCTGGTGGGCAGCTCTGAGGTCAGCTGAGCACCCTGGGCAGATGGCCCACAGCTGCAGGAGAAGTCTAGAGAATCCATCTATTCATTAAAGACTACCCCCAATAAATCTTTCTAAAAAGCAGGAACCCAAAGCTTTTCTTTTGGACCATAGCCAAGTTCTCATTTTACAGTCAGCAGCAGGTCGGGCTCCAAAATAGGAAAAGTAACTGCATATAACAGTAATTGCATGTAACATAACTGCACTGCATGTAACAGTAACTGCATGTAGCATAACTGCATAAACATAACTGCACTGTGTGTAACATAACTGTGTGTAACAGTAGTGCATGTTTTCCTTTCCCTCTGCAGTTGCAGAGCTAGCAAGGAGTCCTAGCCTCCAGGAAACTTCTTGCCAGGGCACACATTCCCCTTCCACTTGGGGCAGAATAAATTTCACGCAGGACATCCATCTGCGTTTGGCCTCCATGCACATCAGTACTTATGTAACTGAAAATGTAAAAGGTCTCTAAGGCTGAAACAGCAAAGCCCCTTGAGTTTCCTTTAACCTATCCCCAAATCTGTCCCCCTGAAGTATCCCATTCCCCAGGTAGTGTCAGTCCTTCCTGAAGCAGTTGCTTTTAACAGTTTTCTCTGAAGTGAAATACCATCGCAGCAAGCTGTTACTCCCCTGCACAGAGCTGCTGAAAACTAATCATTGAGCTTCAAACGCCAGGTTTGGCAAACTCTGGCTACAGAAAACCATTAATCTCGTGATGGCATTTTAGAGGTCTCCACAGAATCACATTTCCAAATGAAATAAACCCAGTCTCCCAAACTGGGCTGCGTTGGAAACAAGGAAACAAACAGCCGGCGACAGCAATGAATCACAAGTGGCATGCTAATTACCAGTCCACATCCAGAAATAGCTGAAGACTGCAGGGTTTGTGTTGTTGTTGTTGTTAAAATAACTACAGCCTTTATCCCAGGGTTGGGCAAAGCATCTGATTTATTCAAATGCTTCAGTTTCTAAACATAATCACATTTGTATGTACGTATCTGGGAGGGGGAGGGAGTGGAGGGAAACTGAGGGCTGGGGTAGGGTCCCGGGAGACAGTAGTGAGTGGGCAGTTGGGTGAGGGCTACCCAGCGGGGCTGCTACATCCCCTACCATCAAACTCATCAAACCTCCCAGGGGCTCTCTCGCCTGTCTGCCTGACGACGCCCACCTCAGACCCTGCAGAGAAACAAAAGGGACAGAGGACGCCTGGTCCCTTCAGTTTCTTTAGCGCCATCCATCACTTACACCACAGGAGCTGCATGATAGGCAATGGTGCCTAGAGAGGGTCACAGAATTTAGATTGAAAGAATCTTGCTTCAAGAAATTTATAATCCGTTAAGGAGAGGGACGAAAAAGTGCATGAGCATGACAGAAATATGGTCGCTTCATGCCACTGCCCTTGGCTCCTGGGGCCAAGGTGAGCCTCTGTCTGCATGTGTGAGTTCAGCTGAAGAGATGAGGCCACACCCGCAGTTCCTGCTGACACTGTGGGTGCAGAACATGGCCCACAGGACTTAATTTTAGGATATGGAGCCGGAGTTCTGTTGAGAGAATCTTCTGCTCCCTATCCTTGCCCCAAGCCCCAGCCTTCTGTCACCGTATCACCCCTCTAAATACGCAACAGCACTCCCCACCCCACTCTCAAGTTCCAGAATGTTTCAGCGGGAAGTCTCCCTCAAGGAGTCTGGTCCAACACAGATGACCTTGGGCTGACTGTAGTTGTGGGGAAAGGGTGTTCTGGGTTCGCATACATTTGGGACGTTCTGGGTTAAGTAACACTGAGGTCTTCTGTACTGCAAGACCGCTTGACGTCTCCAGCACACTAAAGGTACACTGAGGATCTCCAAGACAGGACTGAGTAGACGGCATCCTTAAACCCACCGGCTGAAAATGCTTCCCACCTCTAACATCTGCACCCCTAGACACCCCAACCAGTTCAGCCTCCTTCCCCTTCAGCTGCGGGACACATGGGAGCCCAACCCCAGCGGCCGCCTAGGACGTAGTGCAGGAGGCACACATGCCCCTCAGGGTGCTCACAGCAGGGACTCGGGTGCTGGAAGGTCAGCCCTCATAGCCACGCAGCCAGGTGCCACAGGTTCAGTGCCGGGACTCGCTACCGGCTCCCAGTTCACCACCCTTCATTCTTCCTACCCACACCCCATCTCTGATCATGAGAAGTGTCTGTTCAGCCTCAGAAATGCAAGACCAGATGGAAGCCTCCAGAGAGAAATCCTCAGCAGCCTAGACCCCTCACTGAAAAACAACCCAATGCCTTCCCTCTGCCCACTCTGACACTTCTTAGTGTGCATGCAACCAAGGAATTCTTCGGTGGAGGGACTGATCACATAAAGATGAAAAAATTCCTTCATCCTGCTGTCACTCATCTCACAGCCAGTTCTCACACACACCCTGAAATAAGCCAAGAGAAGGAGAGGCTTCCAGGCATCTCTACCGGGATAGGCCCAGGAGGAAGAGAGAGTACAACGGGGCTCCATGCTGGCACTGGATGCCTCATCGCAGGCCTCCCTTGGGGCAGCAGTCATGGCTGACCCCACGAATGTCACGTCCTTGAGAAAAATGGCCATCAGAACACAGCCTGACCTTTGGTTCCCAGGCCCCACAGAGGGGTCCAGCCCTCACCACTGCCATCTGCTCTGTCTGGGGAGGTGGCCTTGTGGCTGAGGCAGAGCACAGGCACAGGGTGGGCAGAAGCATGAGAAGAGACTGCCGGCCCCCTCTGCAGGCCTGGCTCTCTGCTGTGCCTGGACAAGCTCCAACTGTAAGGAGGCACCTGCTGGCCTTGGACCCGCAGCTCTCCAGAGACAAGCGGGGACCGGAAGCCAGGGCCGCGGCACTGAATTTGTAGGAACCAAGATGTGTGAAGCACAAGGCAGAGTCACATGGACTGTAACCAGCCATTCCCAAATCAAGCACATTGTCTCTCTGTGTTCACACAAAGCCAGAAGCTGAGCCATGAGAGACTGATGTGTGCAGGCACCAGGGGAACACAGGTGGGCTGCCTTCAGTGTGGGGAAAAATATCCTCCAGATGTGAGGACCCTAAAGTACCCACCACCACCAATGTGGATATCACCACCAGCAGCCACACAGAAGTCAAAAATCTGCTTCCTGAAATTTACCTTTTTTCGTTTTTTAAGAGACAGAGTCTTGCTCTATTACCCAAGCTACAGTGTAGTGACATGATCATAGCTCACTATAGCCTCAACCTCCCAGGCTCAAGTGATCCTCCTGCTTCAGCCTCCCAAGTAGCTTGGATTACAGGTGTGCACCACTACATCTGCCTAATTTTTTATTTTTTGTACAGATGGGGTCTTGCTATATTGTCCAGGCTGGTCTCAAACTCCTGAGTGATCCTCCTGTCTCAACCTTCCAAAGTGCTCGAATTACAGGTATGAGTTGCCATACCCAGTCCTAAAATTCACTTTAAAGTGTCACACCAGCCTGATCTCCCCACTAAAAATGCAAGGCTGTGTCACAGAGGGCTTTAATCTCAAACCCAGGGCTCAAGAGTGCTCTAGTACCAGTTCCACAGGTGTCTGGCCCTGTAGCCAGCGGCTCAGACTTTTCTTCCTCTGAGGTGGGGAGTTATAAGGTGCAGGGCGGAGGCTACCCACCTTGTGACGAGGCAAGGAAAGGGCACA